ACGCGTGGATGGTGGTTAATGCCGGCAATCGCGAGAAGATCGCCGAGTGGATTCAAGCTCGCCTTCCGGAAGACATCACGTTCACCGATCACACCGAGCAAACGGCCATGATTGCCGTGCAAGGTCCCAAAGCCATGGAGATCGCCCAGGCAATCGTCGAAGGGGTTCTGTCTGAGCTGAAATATTATCAAGGCCGCGAAGCTACCATTCTTAGCCACCCCGGCGGTCTCGTCAGCCGAACCGGATATACCGGAGAAGATGGCGTTGAAATGACCGTGTCTGCCGAAAACGCGATTGCCACTTGGGAAGCATTGTTTGTCGCCGCCGCAGAAGTGGGCGGACATGCCGTTGGCCTCGGGGCTCGCGACACGCTTCGCTTGGAAGCGGCAATGCCTCTTTACGGTCACGAGCTTTCCGAAGAAATCACACCACTGCAAGCCGGACTGGGCTTTGCGATGTCGTGGGACCACGAGTTCATCGGCAAAACCGCACTCGAAGCAATCGACAAGGATTCGTTGCCGGTGCGTGTCGGACTGGCCATGGAAGACAAACGTGTTCCGCGCGAACATTACCCGCTTTACTCAGGCGACCAACAAGTCGGCGAAGTGACCAGTGGTTCGCAATCGCCAACACTCGGCTCGCCGATCGCCATGGGTTACGTGGCTCGAGCGTTTGCCGCCGAAGGCACCCAACTGGATGTCGACGTGCGAGGAAAACGCCANNCGCCACGCCGCTAAGGTGGTGCCGCTGCCGTTTTACAAACGCAAGTAAGTCAGCCGCTCTGCTGTTACCGCTCAATCGATACCATTCCCTTTATTCGCAGGTTAGTTAGGAGTTCCCCGATTATGTCCACGGACAATTTGCTTTTCGCCAAGACGCACGAATGGGTCAAAGTGGAAGAATCGGACGGCGCAAAGATTGCCACGGTCGGCATCAGCGCTCACGCGATTGAAGCCTTGAATGATTTGGTTTACTTGGAACTGCCGGAAGTGGGCAAAGAAACGACCGCCGGCGAATCGTTCGGTGAAATCGAATCGGTCAAAGCGGTTAGTGATATCTACGCACCTGTGACCGGCGAAGTGATTGAAGCCAATTCGGCATTGCCGGATAACCTCGACTCGCTGCACGAAGATGCCT